CCATAATAATAGTATTTTTCTAGTTCCTTCTCACTTTATTTTGTTCATAGATTTAGCCATTCAATGAAACTGCATTTGTAGAAGTTAACTTTACTTAATTATATTGTTTTAGTTTATAAAAGACATTGGTAAAATTAGTATTGTTACTTAGTTATGCAACCTGATAGTTTTGTCTTTTCATAGAATTATAGAGTAAAAAGTAAAAAAATATTTGCAACATGTACAGAATAGTTGTAATACATGAACCATTCATAACCTGAGCACTTCCCCAAATGATCCTAACTGGGAAAGACTGGGTTATTAGATTTCCCCTGTTTGAGATTTTATTTACAAAGTTTGATCCCATGTATTTTCCTGGTATTAAGATTGTTATTTGTATTTTGTTATTGAAATAAGATTATTTTTGCAAGTATACTGGTTTGACTTAATCAAAGTTTTAAAAGCATTTAAATTTAGTTGAACAGATATATCTAAAATAACCATAGATGACACCATTTCTTTAACTCCTTCTTTCAGTGAAACAAATGAACAGAAGAACATTGGTAATTCATGCTAGACTTTAGTTGGATAACTTTTTTTTCCAATTTTATTGTTTGTTCTCTCTTGTATGAAATGTTTAAAATGTTGTTAACTGTTACTACTTGATTAGATGTTTATTTCAGATAACTTGAAGTGTTCGCTTAACTTTAATCTCTAACTTTAGCATGGATATGTAAATTTTCAAACAAAGCTAGAATGCATACTTTTATATGGCATTGCATCTAATAAGTATCTTCAGTTTTATTTTTATATTAAATAATAGCCTGCAGTACTAGTCTAGAGGATGAAGTACAAATTGAGAATTATAGAAGGTTTGATAATTATTCACTAAAATCCTGGTATGATTGAACAATTCTCTTGGTAAAATGGATTTATAATGGACAACCTACTGGAAAGCTTTTGTTGTAAACTAAGTTTTTGATACACTTTTGTGGACCTTTTTCTGTTCTTGTTTTGTAGACTTTGTTGTGTTTTTATCTTGCAGCTTTCGTTACTGTTGCCTTGATTGTTTGAGTGGGTGGTTTCTGATGGTTGCTTATTTTTATGAACAAGGCTTGTGATTGGTTAATTTTTTGAGAAGTTTAATTCATAAATTATTGACCTCGGAGTCTGAGTGAAGGTATTTTTTTTTTTTGTTGTTGTTTGTCTTCTTGTTTCTCTAAGATAATGATATAAATCTATTTCACCAACTGATTCACCTCCTAACCATGACATTCAAATAACAATTCTGTTTTTCTTTTGCACAGCAGTCATCAGCACAGTATTGCATATTAGTGTGTATTTGATTCTCTTCATGATATTAGTAAGGAGCTTGTAATATACACTTGTTTAATTGAAAAGTTTCTCTAGCATACAATGGAGCAAGCTGAAAACCATCACCAAGACTTGTTTATAATCAGAAAGAACTGAATTACAAGAACAAAAACAAAAAGAAGGAAACATTTAGTTTAATATTTCCATTGTGCATTATAGTGGCTACATTTTGAGTTTTATTTGTATTTTAAAACTTGCCAGATGAATTTGTTTTTAAGTCTCAAGGGTTCAAATATTTATCAGAAAAAGAGCATTATTTAAAAGGAGAAATTCATCTTTTATGAAGTTTCAATGCATTTCACTTTGTTGAATTCCTTGTTAGCAAATCTCTTGTGCCTTTTTAAGTAATTGAGTTTTCACAATTTTACCTACCAATGAGAGTAGCCCATAGTTCCAAACAATTATAATAATGAATTTTATATAGCTGTATGGAGCTCAACAATTTTTCAAAATCAATAAATGAAAATGTCTTTTAAATTGACTACTTGATGCATTTTTGTCATACTAATTAAGGAATATGTCCATGAGAAAACCTAATGAAACAGTTCCCCGTGATGAGCTTTCAGTTTAATATTTAATATGCAAAATTAAGTGGCTGTTCTAACATGTGACAGTAATCAGAATCTGTTTTTGCTATTATATTTTACACTAAAAGAACAGAAGATGATGGTGAAATAGTGTTCACGTATAATGAACTAAACCTTTGTGCGTGTATTTGCATCAAACTGTTTATACACAAGATGAAGTGTGTTTATAATAGTTTTTTGAATATAAATGCTTCTTCCATCAAATCTCAATATTGAATCTCCCTACACATCTAGAAAATGGTGATAGCATACAAAATTATATGCTATTTTATCATAGAAATAGTTGTTACTGGTGAAGTTGTTGTGTTTTGTTTTTTTTATACAAAAGACTGAAGTTTTGTGTTAAAATTAACTAACTCGTAACTTTAGCTGGGCATAATCTAGACATTAGTATGTTGGGCATTGGATTGGAAGGTCCAGTATTAGTCTTGGACACCCATTTCTAGCAGTGTTTTTTTTAAAAAAAAAAAAAAACAAAAAAAACCCTTC